TCACAAGCCAGTAAGGAGAGAGAGATGTGACATATATATGACATACTGGTGCCAAGGAAAGGCCATATGACATCACAGTGTACTGTGCTTGAGATGTTTCCTTGTGATTAGAATATAAAAAGTGATAAAAGAACAGTTATTCCAACACAAACGGAAAACAAATACGCTAAACATACAATGACAACAAAAATCATGTCTTAGGAGTGAGGTGTCACCGGATATCTGAGTGCAGCACACAATGTATGCATGACTTTGGATATTATTGATTTTTGTTTGTCACTTTATTCTTATTTTTATTGAATTTTTATTGCTGTTTTTCCTTGTATGGGAGTTAACTGTATAAGGTGTTTACAGGTAGTTTTATGTTTCTACATGTTTAAAGTAGCATTACTGCAAAACAAAAAAAGCTATTTAAGAAAAACTTGGAAGCAAATGTGATTTTTTTTTTCAGTTTTAAAGAAGAGTTATCCATATTATATTTGAGAAACAATGAACAACAACAACAAAAAATTTTTGGAGCCTGTCCCCCCTCTGACCTTCAGGGGCTTAATTCCCAGAGAACAAAGTCAGTTATTGGAGGTATGGGAGGTGGGGTAGAGTGACGATCAGATTCTTTGGAGGGAGAGGGAGTTTGGGTGTGCTATGCTGCCCTCTGCTGGCCATGTGAATCGTTGGTTGGGCTCATCTGGGCTTGGAGAAATTGGAGGATGCGTTTGCCCACAGGTGGTAGGGGCGGGAGGAAGGTGGGGTGATATAGCTCTAAGTGACCTTTATTGGCAGAAATGTTGTGTAGAGCTGAGCCCCGACCTTTCTCAACCCTTAAGACCTAAAATGAGCCAATTTTACAAGCAAGTGCTGTACCTGCTTGGGAATGAGGCCTGGATAAGGGATGCTGGAAGGAAGACAGTGATCCACGCAAGTGATGAGATGAAGGGGAGGCCCCAGAGAGGACACTTCTGTGTCCCCCTAGTGGCCAAACTATGGGGGGCTTCCAGGGGCTCCACATAGGCCAGAATCACCCAGAGCCCTGCCTCAGTTCTCCGCTTTGTACTTGTTACTGGACCTTGTCCTTATTACTTAGCTCCTGAGCATTCATTCAGAGATGGAGCCTTCCTTCTCCACCCCCCGCCCCCCCTCCCGCCAACTGCACAGGCTCTTCTGCTGTGACAGGAGGTTCTGCCATGTACTGGTTTATGAAAGACCTTTGTGATGACCAAACCATTGAGGAAAAATGTCCTGACTCTAAAAGGATCTGCTTGGTACCTGGCAGACCCTTGAAGACCCAGCCCAGCCTTCTTCACCCCCACAACCCCCTCTCCTGCCCAGTCATCTTTCCTCCTCTGGACCCTGCAAGTTTCTCCTGCCAGTTCTGTCCTACTCAACCATTCAGAGGCCATACTCCGTGGAGGCTAGGTCTTTGGGCTAGGTCCTGGCGTATCGGGTATGTGACAGCAGACTTTAAGGAATGTTTAAGTAATGGGGAAGCAGACCCTTAACCAATTACTGTGACACAGCGAGTCGGTGCTGGAGTGGAATGGGGCAAAGGTGACCAAAGGACGGCTTATTGAGCTCTTGCATTTGAGAACCAGTTGCTCACAATCTTGGAGCAGCCCCTGGTGTTTCACAGCTTTTATCCTTCAACTCCAGCCACATCATTTCCTACCTTTTATCTATTCTATCTCTTGGTACCCAACACCGTGACCAGCACTTTGTAGGAAGTCACTATACTAGCCCTCAGCACCTGCCCAGGCCCTGGCACCCAGGAGGCACCCAGGTTGTGGAATGGATGAATTGATGGGTGCGGCATGAAAGGAGGGGTTTGGGAAGAAGCTTTTTTGGGCAAACGCAGCAGGAAGGACAGAGAGAAGTCAGCCCTCTTCTTTTTCCAGGAGGCTAATGGCCCAGCCTTCCTGATTTGCTCACCCTTTGTTTATCTGAGGACACAGAAAACTCAGTAACGTCCCCCTGGCCTCACCCAGCTGCAGTCTGGGCCTTCCCAGTGGGGCCAACCAGGTGGGCCTCCTTGCCAGCAGCTGGAAATCCCACAGAACTACTCTAACTCCATCAAAAGCCCCTACTCCACTCAGCAGAAACCTGCTGCCAGCCGTCCCCAGTGAAGAACCCAGTTTCAAATAGGAGCCTGAGCCAGAGAATAGCTCCCCACCAAGGTACTGGCTCTATACCTCTCCCCAGAGCATCTGGCCTTTCTCCTAAAGATGGGCCCTGTTCTTTTCCCCCACTACCTCCAGACACAGCCACCTCCGCGTCTAGCCTACAGACTGATTTGAAGAGAACTTGGAGGCCATCTGGCCCAAAGCATCTTACATTGGAGAACCAGTCGCTCACAGTTGGAGCAGCCCCCAGTGTTATCACAAACTTTTATCTTCTACATAAGTCAATTCCAGCCACATCATTTCCTACCTTTTATCTATTCTATCTCTTGGTACCCAACACAGTGCCCAGTATAGTCTAGCAAGGTGGTTAAGCTTAAAGACCCTACATCCAGCCTCACATCCCTCCTCTACCACTTACTGGCTGGGTGGCTTTGGGCAAGTTACTTAACTTCTCTGAGCTTCATTTCCTCATCTTTAAAACAGAGGTCCTAACTGTACTTTTTCATACAGTCCTCATGAAGACTGAAGGAGTCAATGCCTGGGAAGTGCTTTACAAAGGGCTCAGCACATCATCAGTGGCCAAGAAAGGGAATCGTTCTATCCTCATCATCACTGCAAATTAACAAGGCTTGTTAACTGGATAGCCGAGCCACTATTGACTAACCCATGGCATTCAGCCCCCAAATGACCCTTGCAAAGTTTGTTGCTGCGCCAGAGCTGTGCCAGCACTGTGGGACCACAAAAGAACTTTGTCCTCTAGGAAGAGGCACTCTTGCAGGCAAGATAAGACCAATTCGCAAAGCAATTAGTAAAAAATACAAGATAACTTAAAAGTACTAAATTGTTTGGTGCAGACTATAATTGTGTTAATGATAAGAACCATTTGTACAGCATTTTAGCATTTACCTAGCATTTGGAAATACATTATCTCACGTAATCCTCAAAACAAACCCGCAAAACCAGGTAAGAAATGTAATTAGCAGATGAAGAAACTGAGTCTCACAGAGATGAGATGGCTTGTTTGTGATCACACCACCAGAAAGGACAACTTCAACCTGATTCTAACTTCATTTGTCACCAGGCTCCTTACTGTTTCATTGAGTGGGATGCGTGTGTGTCTGTACATGTGTGTGTGCCCACGTGTATGTTTACAGGGATGCGTGCTTCTCCAGACTTCATCTCACGTCTGCCTTCCTTTTACACTCAGCCTCAAGACTCCCTATGGCCAGAATATCCTGTAGTTCATGTTTCACGTCTATTTGTGCTGCGTCCAGTGACCTTATACTGGGCCTCTTTCATAGGTGTGGTGGCCTCTCAGAGCTGATAGGTCTCTGAGCCATCCAGAAGGCAGGGGATTTTGTGGCTCCTCTGAGCCCAACACTGCCCTCTGAGTCCCTCAGGAATATGTCAGCAAAGGATAAGGAACCTCTGGCTCTGCCTGCCCACGCTGGCCCTGGTGCAGAGCCAGTGCTGGTTACAGAGGCCCGAAAGCAGGGCTGCAGCAGCCCCTGGTGGGCCTGCTTGAGAAGTACAGCTGTGCTCCCCAGACCCATCCATAAAAAAGAGAGGGAAGGACCCAGAAGCAGGGCCGTGGCCTGGGGAACAATGGAGCCAGGTTACAGAAGACCGTGACCAGCTGCATATGACGTGGAGTGATGAAAACTACACATTGGATTTGAAGCCCCGTGCCTCGGTTCAAGTCCCAGCCTGTCAGCTCCCTAATGGTGCCACCTGGCAAGTTTCCTCACCTCTCAGCTCCTCAGTTTCCTCTTCTCTAAAATGCAGACAGCAGTAACACCGACTTCACGGGTTGCAGTCAGGATTAAATTAGTTAATTTTTATAAAGATTGCCTAGCATATTGTAGGTGCTGTCACTGCCACATTATGACTTCTGTGGGTCCTTGGGCAGTTTTGCTTTCATGGGCCTTTTCCTCCACAAAAATTATTTAAAATTTTATCGTACTACCACACTGGTATAAAGATGAATACAATCCAAGCTAGATTATATTCATTTTTTTTCTTTTAAAAGAAATTCAAACATTTTTATGAGCTTCTAAATGCATCATGACCCCACAGAATCGGGCTTATTGTGCCTAATGGATAACGGGGCCCTGGGGGCTCCATCACGTATGCTATTGTAGATGTTGAAGTGTCTCAGGAACCGTCAAGGGCTGTGGCCTGTGAGGATCAGAGTCATTCCTTTAGGATGCTTCTTCTATCCTCCTGTGTGTCCAGCATCCCTCAATGTCAAGTTGTCCAGTAAGAGGGTGCCCTCTGGTCTCTCCATTCAGTCCCTGAGCACCACAGAGATGCAGGGCTGGCATGTTCTGATGTGGGGATGTCAGGCAGAGATCAGCCTGGGCGACCAACTCCTTTAGGCCTTTTGGCAGGGGAGGAGGGTTCCGGGGGCCAGATACCCACTGGGTCCTTTCACAGCAGCCAAGTGGTAGCAATAGCACCCTCTAGTGGCCCCAAATCTCCCTCCATGCAGTGCCTGCCTCACCTGCCTTCCAGAGGGGACCCCAGTGAGCCGGGCATGAATGAGGCTTGTGTTGACATTCACATATTTGCATTTGTCTAAAAACCCCTTCAATCCACACAGAACCTGAATCCAGTAATATAACCAAACCCACAACTATGTGTGGTGGTTCATGTGTACAAAAAGCCAAGGTTAAGCTCTAGATCACTGCTGTCCATAGAAATACCATGTGAGCCACAAATATAACTTTAAATGACCTTATAAAAGGAAAATGATGAAATTGATTTTGATAATATATTTTATTTATCCCAACATGAAAATATTATCCTTTCAGTATGTAATCAATATAAAATTATTAATGAAATATGTTCGATTTTTTTCTTTCAAAGTCTTTGAAATCCAATAAGTATTTTACAACTGTAGCATACATCAATGTTTTATTTTAGTGTTCTAAATAAATTTTCATTGGAAATACTTATCTGTATTTTATATACTTCATAAAATTCACAGCTGAAAAAGCAGATTCACATACCAGCATTTTCCCAACATACTTAAAAGTTTTTCAATCACCAAACCAAGTAATAGTTTTGAACTTTAAATGTAAATTAATGACAATTAAATAAAATTAAAAATTCAGTTCCTTAGTTGTACTATTCACATTTCAAGTGCTCAACAGTCACACGTGTCTAGTGGCTACCTAACTGGACAGTGCGGGGGTAGATCATGAAAGCAGCAGAAGGAATTAAGCATGCCTTTGGGAAAATAAAGCACACCTCACAGTGAAAGAAAACTATTTGTGAACTTAAAAGTCCCCAGTCACGGTTTCGCAAATTAGAACGCACAGAAGTCTTACTTGGGAAATTTGAAAGAGCCACGGATGACCACCTCATGTCCAGAAATCAGCCTCTGGACATGTTGGGGCCCCACCCTGGAGTGTGCGTTTTAAGGAGGCCGCAGGGCCACACTCTGAGAACCACCGCAGTGTCAGGCAGATGTGTCATCACGGGGGCTGTGGCCCTGGTTCCTGGCTGCTTACAGAATGCACCAGGCACTGTGCTTAAACGGGACTGCCAAAGACGGGCCCACAAGACAACCCAATGGAGTATGGGGAGGACAGAGAAATGTAGTTTTTATTATTCCTTCATTCTTATTTTAGCACATGGTTTGTGTAATGTATACATAATTTAGTATCAATAAGTTGGGAGAATACATTAAAATTTTTTTAATCAATGGGGCAAATCCAAAAAGTTTCAGCCCACTGTGTTAAACAATGGTTCCCATTTTCAAGAAGCTTAGAGATGGGGTGATAATGCAGAGAACCATAAAATAGGATATGGGGGAAATATATACCTTAAGAAACCTACAGTTAAAGTTCTGACTTCAGAGTTCAAAAATAGGAATCATTATTTCTAGCTGGGCTGATGAGAGCCAACTCCATAGCAAACAAGACACAGGAACCAAGACTTCAATAGTCTGTGGGATGGGTCTTGTGGCTTCATCAAAGGACAGTCTCACAGAGGCAAGTGCAGGGTTGGAGGCATGGAGAGGGGAGAGTGGGAGTCATGTTTTCAGAGGAAAGAATGATTTGATTTCTCTGGGGCAGCATGATTCTGAAGGTACCTATGGAAATGTAGGCATCTGGGCTTTATTTAGTGGTCAACAAGGGATCATTGCTGCTTGTGGCTATGACATATGCCCTGGTTTAATAAAGTAGGTGAACCTGATACATGACGAACCTGATACATCAGGTGAACCTGATACATGAACTTGACTCAGTTTGCACCTTGAGGAGCACACTTCCCCACACCTCAACCCTGTTCCCTACCACCACCTGTGCAGGCTGCCCTGCTGCCTGCCCTGCTGTCCCCTTGACATTGGGCCAATCTGAAGCAGCTGGTGAATGTAGCACACACCACAGCACCACCAGCACCACTTGGCAGCTGCCATCCTTTGCCCACAAGCCATGCAGAGTCACCATCACACTGGATATGCACTTGTATTCTAGGGATTCCCAACATTTCAGCAGGGTAGAATAGAAGCAGGCAAGGACCCCTGGATAAACAGGCTCTGACACTGTGAGCCGCAGACCTATGCTAATGAAGTGAGCAGCCCCCACCTGCATAGGTTTAGGGTCTGGGATCCTAAACTCTGGAGCTGAGATAGACTCTGTACCTAAGGCTCTTCATTTGAAGGCCCTGAAGCTTTCACATGCAGCAGTGATGCCCCCGCACCGTTTGGCGGTGGGTAGGCACCTCCAACAACCATCCATAACCCTACCCAGCCTTCCTAGTGACCAGGCACCACACCGCCATGGTGAGAGCGCAGAACAAAGACAGCTGGCTCCAGACTCCACTGAGCAGCCTCCTGGGAACATCCTACACCAAGTCTTAACAGGGAGAAGATGCACAAGGCAGCTCAAAGGGCACCCCCTCCCACCACCACCACCACCACAGGGTCTGAAGCCTAAAGGATGCCAACTCCAGCCTGGCTATTCGGAGGCATTCAGGCAGTAACCCGTCCACCGCTGGCCTATGTCCTCAATTGTGTTCCGAAGTATCAGTGTCCAGTCATCACTTTTCCGCATTGGGGTACAGCGTGTCTCCTTTTTCTCCAGGGTTAAGATCTCCGAAGGAGTCTCTGGGGTCAGCCCAGCAGCCAGGACAGCTTCTGGGAACTTGGCTGCAGAGGCAGGGGCCAGACAACACCGGGGAGGGCTGTGAGGGGTGGAGTGGGTGGAAACAAGTGGGAGGGGGACAATAGATAGAAGGACAGGTACAGAAAGGAGAAGGGGAAAAGGGAGGGGAAGGAACAGTGGAAGGTTAGGGGTAGTGCGGGGCATGGAGGAGAAAGAGACAAACAGATGTTTAGTACGTTGAGCTTATCTCTACAATGACCATTGAACAAATTGCTTCTTTTTGTCAAAGGCCCAGCTCAACCGCCACCTCTCACACTGGCTGTCCCTGGGATAGCTATAATGCACCCTCTTCTGGGACCATGGTTCTTGGGGCATAGTTCCACAGAGCACCCATCATGCTCATTAAAGCCATTTATTCACATTACTGTCTCTCCTGCTTGGGGAAGAGGAGGAACCCTAAAAGCCAAAGGTTTCCCCCCCACCCAGAAGCCCACAGCCATACCTGGGCTGCTGCCTGTCCATCTGCTGGTAATGGTAGCTCACAGCCACAGCCGAGTGAGGGCACAGCAAGTATTGGTTCTCTTCCCAGCAGCGGCCCATGGTCTGGGTGATGGCCTCATCCGACACTGACTCAGATGTCACTGCCGCTGAAAGCTGACAGGTCCCAGGGTTAGAGCAGTGGAAATCAGGGAGAAAGGTGACCAAAACTACTATATAACAGAGCCAGTCGACACCAGAGACTCAAATGAAATGTTCAAATTGAATGGCTTAGATTCAGCTCAGAGAAAAAATCTGTTTTCCCACATTTCCCAGTTTTAAGCTGATTCACTCAACTTGAGAGAAGAATGCATTTGAGTTTCAGGTTAATAAACTGAGCTAGGATTTGGCTCATGAATCAACAAATTAGTATATAGTCTTATTCCACAACTGCAAAAACACAGAAGGTTAAGGGCATTCAAAGTTTCCTGGTGCTTTGTTGTTGGTGCACTCGTTCCTGAGGGCATGAGAACACCTTCTCGTCAGTTTCCACCCAGCTCATGTAGCACCATCTCTAGTAAACCTCCCTGCTACCCTCAGACAGAGAAAGACTCCCTTCTCGGTGTCCCTTCAATGTAGAGGGTTTATTTGATCATTCTCTGAAAATGTATTGTCTGCCTGCGACGGGCCAAACACCCTACATATACTCGACTGCAAAATGGTCATAGGGCATTATATATTGTTTGTATTAGGGCTCACAGAAGACAATGAATGTATTTTATTTATCTTTGTGTCTCCAGCACCTAGCGGTTTCTGGCTTACAGTATATATGTAATATGAATGATTGAATGAATGCTGTTTTAGTAGATGGAGTGTCTTCTACATGTACAGCCAGGGAGAGAATGAAGAACTGAAGGATATAGTGTCTTTCTTCATGGAGCACCTCCTTTACACGAGGAGAAAGAATGTGGATGTCAAAACAAACCATTAACCAAGTAAGTTGATCTCTGGTTGTGTTATGGTCTGAATGTTTGTGCCCTCCCCCCCCCGCCCCCAAAATTCATATATTGTGATGGTATTTGGAGGTGGGGTCTTTGGGAGGTAATTAGGTAATGAGGTTGAATGAGATTAGTGTCTTTATAAAAAGAGGCCAGAGAGCTAAGTAAAGCTCTTTCCACCATATGAGGATACGAGAAGGTGGCCATCTGCAATCTGGCAGAAGCCCCTCACCAGAATTCAACCATGTTGGCACCCTGTCAGACTTTCAGCCTCCAGAACTGTGAGAAATGAATTTGTGTTGTTTATAAGCCACCCAGTCTATGGTATGTTGTTACAGCAGCCTGAACTGACTAGGCCAGGTTACATCAAAAGCAGCACAGATTCCAGGAGACAGACATTCTGCTCTGATCTGTATGGGTGGCCAAGCCCAGAGAACTGTATCCAGTTCTGGGAACAAGCCTTGAAGATGGACATTGACCACTCAAAATTATGTCATGTAAGACACAGCTAAAGGAACCAGGAAGGCTTAGCAGGTAAATGGAGATCCTCTTCAAATATGGGAATAAGACTGCGCAGCAATGCACAAGCTAAGAAGAGCAGATTGTAGTTCAACATAAAGAGCTTTGTAATGATTAGAGCTGATGTGAGGTAGTGAGGTCCTGGTCCTGAAGATATACCTACAGTCGGATGATCACTTGGTGGGAATGTGATAGAGAAAATTAAAGGCAATTTCAACATATAAAATTGCTTTTTGTGGGGTTTTTTTTAAACACAAAATAAGTGACCATCACCAGGTGGCATTAAAATGAAAGCCATCTCTCCCAACTAGATTCCTCCTTAGATAAAATTTCACCTCCTTAAAAAAAAAAAAAGCTAATAGGACAAACTGGATAGACAGAGTGGCTTCCAGTTGTTATTACTGGAAATCAACAACAGTAATAAATATAAATAATAATAATTAATATATCAAGCTCTAGCTTGCCTGGCAGTAGTCAAAGTGCTTCATGGATATTATTTGACTTAAATCTTTAATAAGGCTCTGAGGTAGGCATTCTTATTATCCCCAGTTTACAGATGAGGAAACTGAGGCACACCAAGTTGAAGAATCTGGTTCAAGGTCCCACAGTTGGCTTGGAGTTGAGCCCCGTCTGACTCTAAGCCAATACTCTCTACTGCCTCTCTCATTCAATAAATGAATCCACATAAAGTGACTGCAAAAGTTCCAGATTCATAGTAGGTGCTCAAATAATATGTGTCCCCTTCGCTTGAACAGATTTTCAAACCCCAAGTCTGGTTGTGACTTGGCGCTGCACGCTTTCCGTTCTCTGTGATATGTGGGTGGTGACTGACCTTGCTTTGCAGCTCCTTAGGTAGACTCACACTTTGGGTCCTCTCAAACTGCTCCATGAGGGTTCTTGTCACCTGGCTGTCAGAATCAGATAGCAGCCAGAAAATCCTCTCCATGTTGTAGGGCACCTGGGCAGAAAGGCAGGATGTGTGTGTGTTGGGGGTGGGGGATGGGGTGGGCACTCTGATCCCAGCCCTGGTCCATCCCCACCCAACCAACGCCTGACCAGCTCTGCACACCTCCCCACAGGTCGCACCTGAATGTCCATAGCTGATGCCAAGGTTGGTTTGACAGTCTCCGACAGAGAGAAGTCTCCTCTCTGGACAGTCCTGTGGATGATGTCATTGAGGTTCACTGCCGCCACCAGGCGGATGGGCAGGCCCATCTTCTGGGCAATGCACCCAGCTTTGGACAAGAGAGAAGAACAATGGCTTCTTAGACATGACACCAAAAGCACAAACAACAAAAGAAAAAAATGGAGAACTGGACTTCATCAAAGGTAAGAAACTTTTGTGCTTTTGAATCTTTTGTGCTTAAAAGGACAGTATCAAGAAAATGAAAAGGTAATCCACAGAATGGGAAAAACTACTTGCAAATCATATATCTGATAAGAGACCTGTATCCAGAATATATAAAGAACTGTTACAACTCAACAATAAAAATACAAATAACCCAATTTAAAAATGGGCAAAGGACTTGAATAGGCATTTCTCCAAAGAAGACATACAGATGGCAAATGAACACATGAAAAGATACTCAACATCATTAGTTATCAGGAAACTACAAACCAAAACCACAATGACATACCATTTCATACCCATTAGGATGGCTAGAATGAAAAAGACAGATAACATGTTTTAATCAGGGTGTGATTCACTGGAACCCTCATACATTGTTGGTGGGAATGTAAAATGGTGCAGCTGTTATGAAAAACAGTCTGG